CTGGAGGGTGTATTAAAGCCTTGGGCACGCAAACATTTTTGCCGCAGACCTTGGATATTCCAACAGAACTCAGCACACGACACCCAAGAGTTGTTACATTTCCAGCGCACAATGGCCACCAAAAAAACTCCGAATACCAATCCGTTGGTCTATTGTGTCTGGAGTATTTTGGATTCGCCGGGAATGGGCCAAAATAGCGCAGAACAACATTCGAGCAGCGTGTAACAGTTTTATTGGCCGTTTGAAGGCCATACTTCGTGTCACATCTAAATTTTTATCAGCACTAGATCTAGACAGTAAAATTGAAATTTCAAGAGAACGCCCAATTTTATTAAAGCTTCGGGTATATTTATCAAGTGTTCATATCGACAATAAAGGCCCACTCCTCCGTTTTCCTCAGGCTTAGCATATTGTAATATGTCTACCAACACTGTATGGGATATATCGGACCAATTCTTCCACAACTCTATGGTGGAGGTTATTAAAATAATGGAGGGTAACACTATTAAAAAACTTCAACTGATAAAATACATTGTAATAAAATCCCAAATCAAATGCATATTCTAAACACTATCATTCTTCTTGCAACTGACATTAACTGCTCGAGCCCAAGCTCTTATTTCATCGAGACATTTCACCACACTCACACACATAACAACAACTAACGTCTTATTTCCCACTAGGCCTGCACTGACTTCTGCTCTGATGACAATAATAAATGTCTACGTGACCATAGACCAAACAATACAGTCAGGTTAAAAATAGAATTACGTTCACACCATACCAGCAGCAGCAACAACAACAGCAGCTATGAAATGGGTGATTTCTAAGAGGAATTAGAAAGGAGAGAAATAAAACGATGGCTTAGACGAAAGTACAATAAACCGAGTTCATTAAAATGATAAGAACTCATAGTTTAAGCGTTTGAGAACAATAAAATTTAAGAACTCATTCTATTCGGATCAATTTTATGTGCGAGAGTGAGTGAGTGTGTGTGTGTGTGGTTCTTAAGACAACTCAGAAATTATCACAGCCTCCAATCACTATCAACAGTAACAACAAACAAACATCCCATATACAGTATTCTAGGCTGGATGGATGGATGATGACGACATTCATCCAAATGATGATGGAAGTGACTAGAACAACACAGACATAAATTAGAATAACAATTTATGTTGCAGACATTACACAAAAAACAATACAATACAATAAAAGTAGAAAAAGAAGAACGTCAAAATAATTAGAACTTTTATGAATGACATAAAAGTCACAATCAAATCACATCACTTGTCTTTGGTTAAGGATTCATTGCCCTATTTTGGTCTGGATTAAATTGAAATGACTTCAAATGTTACATACATATCCTCACAGTAATAAATCAATCATTGTAATTAAGATCTTTATTGAGAACCCAAAACTATTAAAGACGTCATGCTGATGATGATATCAGCAGGTAAAATCCAAAGAACCTTTTTAAGCCTTTTGTTGTTCTTTACAAAAGACCTTAAATGATACACGTAAATAAAGGGATTTTGTTGCGAGGAATATTTTAAGCTAGAGATGCTCTTTAGAAAATCTAGTCTTTAGAAAATCTAGTACCGAAGCATTTGTATCTTTTAAATTCGGACTTGTATTGCCCATTTGGTGCAAAATTAATTTGAAATCAGATAAAGATATATATGGGAGCTATATCCAAATCTGAACCGATCTCGATAAAATTTAGCAAATGTATTTCTGAGCTGTATTTGATATATTTCCCTGAATATCGTTGTTACGGAGAGCATATTACGGCTGTGAGTAACAAATACAAAAAATCGGATGAAAAATATATATGGGAGCTTTCGCTATATCCGAACCGATCTTCACCAAATTTGGCATACTATCTTCTAGACTCAATTCGGTCATATGTGCCAAATTCCATCCCATTTGGGCAAATATTAGACGTTTGGTGCACAATAAAAGGTAAATCGGATGAAGTTATATATGGGAGCTATATCCAAATCTGAACCGATCTCGATAAAATTTAGCAAAGGTATTTCTGCGCTGCATTTGATATATTTCCCCAAATATTGTTGTGACAGAGTGCATATTACGGCTGCGGAGGACAAAAATAACAAATCGGATGAACTATATATATGGGAGCTATAGCTATATCTGAACCGATTTCGATCAAATTTGGCATAATTATTTTCAGGCCTAATTTGGTTGTATGTGCAAAATTCCATACTATTCGGGCTGATATTACACGATTGGTGCACAATAAAAGGCAAATCGGACGAAGATATATATGGGAGCTATATCTAAATTTTTATCGATTATCTCCAATAGGGTTCGTCTTTGGGCCAAAAAAATGTTGTTTGGAAAAGTTCATCTCAATCGGATAATAAATGCAACCTGCATTTTGTCCACAACAATACATGGACAGACGCACGGACGGACATGCATAAATCAACTCAGAAAGTGATTCTATGCAGATCATCAAAAAGAACTATGGGTCTATATCGTTTCCTTTTGCGTGTTACAAACAAATGCACATATGGAGATGGATGGTGTTGGAATAAATACCGCGAGTCATGTAAAATATGCGTTTTTATACCTTAAACCACACAGGGTACATTCAGTTCGTCATTCCGTTTGTAATTCATTGAAATAATAATTTTAGACTCAACAAAGTATATATACAGGGTGAGATAAAAAACTGCAACATAGTCAAACGTCATAATTTTTACATTTTTTTTTTAAATTTTATTGAATGAAAGCAAAAAGTGTCGGAAATAGAATCAAATTTTAGAATTAGTTTAGATTTGTTCGAATTGGTCACCTTTGGCACGAATTATGGCCTTCAAACGGCCAATGAAATCGTCACACACTGCCCAAATGTTGCTCTGCCGTATTTCGGCCCACTCCCGGCGAAGCGCTTGCTTTAGGTGATCGACACTTTCGTATTTTTTAGTGCCAACCTTGCTTTCCAAAATACTCCAGACACAATAGTCCAAGGGATTGGTATCTGGAGATTTTGATGGCCATTGTGCACTGGAAATGAAGCGAGGAACCTCATTTTGTAGCCATTCTTGGGTGGCATGTGCTGAGTCCTGTTGGAATGTCCAAGGTCTTCGGGCAAAATGTTTGCGTGCCCAAGGCTTTAATACACCCTCCACAATATATTCGCGATTATATTCGGCATTTATTCAGATGCCACGGTCAATTAATACGAGCGAAGAGCGACCATCGGCTGTTATGGCGGCCCACATTATCACCATGGACGTTCACCACTTTCGGCCAAGCTAAGCAACTCTTTTGAGTATATTTTCTTTTCGTTGCGGTGTAAGTTCTTGCACTTTTTGGAACTTCAATGGCTTTACTTCGAGCTCATTTTTCAATATTTGCCGAATGGAATATTGTGATATGTTAAGCACATGAGCCATTTTTCGGCCACTGCGACGCGGGTTTCGATCAAGTCGCTTCTTTACTTTTCGAACCATTTCTGCTGATGTTGCTATTTTCTTCTGTCCACTTCCTTGACGTCGGGCTACGCTACCAGTATCACGATAACGAGCGATGGTACGAGACATAAAAGATTTATTCACATTTAAATGTTGGTGTGCTCTAACGATAGCCACCCGTTTTGATTTTCCATCCAAATATAAAGAAATCACACTATCACGCTTGAATTCCATCACGAATAACTTTTTTTCTGGAAAATTCTCACCAGAATGCTTTTGTACGCTGGTAAACAATATAATGAGCTATCACTGGAATAATTTAAACAGCTGTCGATGAGTGGCTTAGAAATGACAGCAGTATGAAGTTGATTGCAGTTTTTTCATTTCACACTGTATACGGCAAATTCGTGGTATTTGCTTATTTTATAAAAAGAATGCTCGTCATCTGATATGTTTGTTTCGCAAAGAAATATCAGAAATGTCTGTGAATTTTTCCTCAATGATCTGATATTTGTATGTATCATTGACGAAATCCATATATTTGATTTTGATTTCTACACGTTTCTTTACATTTATCTTTTCATATATGTATAGAAGAAAATTCTGTAGGTGCTCAGTCTATTAAGAGTTGACTTTACTGGTTTTGATTTTTTGAAGGCTTTTAGATGGTCTCCCTTCTTAGGAAACTTTTTAATGAAATTGTAAAGTGTTCAAATCTATAAAGTGCCTCTTAAACTGTTGTTGTTTTGTATCATTGGAAGAACCAGAATATGTGGACTTTGTAGGGTCTATTAGAAATATTTTGAGGAGTTACAAACGGTTAATATACCCTTCATAAAATGGTGGAGGGTATAAAAAACTGTCTTCAGATTGCCTTTATCTATTTTCCCATCTTTTATAGAAGAACAGGCTAAAGTTTTTTCGATTCCTTAGATTATTTGAATTGATCCTTTTTCTCTTAAACAATAAGTCTTGAACCTCAAACAGACATGAGTATTACAGCATGGCCTCCAAGTAGATAGAAATCATCTGGCGATAGCACAGCTGATAAGAATCTGTAAGATGAAGAAATGAAACGAAAATCTGCCGGTGGCATTCAAAATCATATGACGTGTCCCTCTCTCTCGCCGACATTCTAAATGGACAACGTGGAAGCCATCACATCAATTGCATATAATCAACAACACATACATACATACGTATGTTTCTATGTACATGCGTACATAAAAATTAACTCAGCATCATAAACTACTCCATAGAACTATATGGTTTTCCAGAATTTTCCACCAATTTAGGAAATCTCCGCATGACCCGAATTCAAATGCAAAGATTCTTTTAATTTCATCCATGAATGAATTAAAGAGCGTTTAAAGATTAAAATGCCGGTTCAAGACAAGCGATAAGCCCGCCAGTAACAAAAACAAAACGACTTATCAGCTCAAAAATAAGGAACTATGAACTAAGGCTGCTGCCGATGGTGCTGCTGTTGCTCATTGGAGATGCTTCTAATTACAACAAACAAAAACATATATACCAAATTCATTTGCTACTTACTTGGATGTTGCTGGCGACGCGACGATGATGCTGCTGATGATGGCGATGATGATATATGGGGTCAATGGAGGAAAATGTGGCTTCTCTGTTTCTCTGCCTTGTTCTGGAGCATTCAGGCTATGTGGTTTCCCAGTAAAAATGTTTTCTTATTGGTTTTGTTATTGTTGCTTGTGTGCAATTATTGTGTGTGCGTTCTGTTTTGTCTACGTCTTACGCCCCCACACTTTCGTCTTCAGTTGGTGAGGAATATTCAGATACACAGATACAACGTAGTAAAGGAAAACGTACAGCGACGAGGAGAGTATCACAAATACAACGCACTCTCTTTCAGAATAAACAACAAGCTGTAATTGATGCGACCGAACAGCAAAAAATGCAAAGAAATGCACGTTCTGTCTTGGACGAAAAATAAACGCCGACCGGGTAATTAATAAACCAAACAAATTAAACGGTTTTCACGCACTCGCCTTCGTTTGTCCCGTCCTCTTTGACGTATCTTCTAAATAAATGAATGAAACAACCGGAGAACGCGCACACCAAATAAATTTTCACTGCACCGCCACCCCTCGTTAATTGAAAAAAGGAAATGACATAGAGCAAATAAACGTTCCGACAGACACACACACAATTCAATGGTTGGCTAGTTGAGTTATTTATTTATTGATTTGGATTGGAGAATGGAATTTTCTTTTTCCAAAAATTGTTTTTGTTCTTTTCTTTTCGTATTAAAATTATTGGGTAATTTATTTAGAATTTATTGTTTGAAAAAGAATCCTTTATTCCTTTTTCCCTTTTGTTTTTATTTTAGTTTTTTTCCTTTTTTGTGATTTTTCTGTTTCCAGCAGAAGGAGAAGAAGACGAACACACGAAAGAAAAGAAATACTGCGTCCGCGCTTTAACAGATTCAATCATACACTGAGGTCGTTTCGGCATTTGCTTTGTGTAGATAAACGGTTTGGCTGTGCTGGCGCGGGTTGATGTCGTTTGTTTTGGTTTTGTTGTTCGACGGCATACAGACAAGCCTCAATAGATACAAAATGTATCTAAAAAATAAAAAGTATTCAGATACACATTTTTTAAATTCATTGCAAAATCTGCTTAGACTTCGAAATATTTTCTTTGTAATTCAAGAATTCCATTTGTAATTCATAGCATTTTAATTGTAAACAGAGAATACACATCCATAATTCGCAACATTTAGAGAATAAGATTCGATTTAAAATCCAAATTAGAAAAAAGTCCAATTAAGCAAATTTTTTTCTAAATTTTTTCCAGAGGTATGTAGGATCCGGAACTAGAGATTTTTAACCCGTAACTAAATGACACCCAAAAAAACCTGTATAATTAAGAAGATATAAACAAGCAGAATTTTTATCCACAAATAGGCATCAAACGCAATACGAATCTCTTTGATATACAGGGTGAGATAAAAAACTGCAACAAAGTCAAACGCCATAATTTTTACACTTTTTTTTTAATTTTATTGAATGAAAGCAAAAATTGGTAACCTTTGGCACGAATTATGGACTTCAAACGGCCAATGAAACCGTCACATGCTGCCCGAATATTGCTATGCGGTATTTTGGCCCATTCCCGGCGAAGCGCTTGCTTGAGGTGATCGACACTTTGGTATTTTTTAGTTCCAACCTAGCTTTTCAAAATACTCCAGACATAATAGTCCAACGGATTGGTACCCAGAGATTTTGGTGGCCATTGTGCGCTGGAAATGAATCGAGGAACTTCATTTTGTAACCATTCTTGGGTGGCGCATGCTGAGTGAGATGGAGCTGAGTCCTGTTGGAATGTCCAAGGTCTGCGGCCAAAATGTTTCAGTGCCCAAAGCTTTAATACACCCTTCAGAATATTTTCGCGAAAATATTCGGCATTTATTCTGATGCCACGGTCGATAAATACGAGCGGAGAGCGGCCATCGGCTGTTATGGCGGACCACACCATCACCATGGCGGCGCTTGAGTTCTGGTGGCCTACCGAAGGTGCACATTTTCAGCTGACCTCTTTGGCAAGTAAACACGATAATTTTGTTTGTTTACAAACTGCTAGACAACGAATGTTTTCCATGTCAGAAAACTAAATTCGGCAGTTCACCACTTTCGGCCAAGCAACTCTTTAGCTCTTTTGGATATATTCTTTCTGTTGCGGTGTAAGTTCTTGCACTTTTTGGAATTTCAATGGCCTTACCCCGAGCTCATTTTTAAATATGTTTCAAATGGAATATTGTGATATATTCAGCTCACGAGCCATTTTTCGGCCACTGCGGCGGCGGTTTCGATCAAGTCGCTTCTCTACTTTTCGAACAATTTCCGCAGATGTTGCTGTTCTCTTCTAACGAGCGATGGTACGAATCACAAAAGATTTATTCACATTTAAATGCTGGACTGCTCTAACGATAGATATTTTTTCTGAAAAATTCTCACCAAAATGTATTTTACGCTTGCAAACAATATAATGAGCTGTGTCTGGAATAATTGTAACAGCTGTCGGACGAGTGATAGAACTGACAGCTGTCTGAAGTTGGTTGCAGGTTTTTCATCTCACCCTGTATATAATCAACAAATTTTGTATCAAATCCCCAAAAATGTCTGAAAGCATTAAAAGCATAACATGGGGTACCTCCAGAAGGAAAACTGAAGTGCGACAAAGGTATTTAAGATTTGTGAAAAGCTTTACTACAGCGAACGGCTGGGTTTGGTGGTATTTTCATTTATTTCTTTTCAAATGTATGTTAATGTTTTCTTTTCAGATGTACCGAAAAGTATTTTAAAGGTCGTAAAAGAGCTGAAAGGTATATCTTTCAACAAAAGCAAAAATAATTAAAATATCGAATATCAAGGTGCGTTATATGGGGGCTATACAAAAATGTGGACCTATTATGTATATTTTCCCACAGGAGTTAGAACCAATTCTATGCCTGTCTTTAAGGATCAAATCCCCAGAAAACCCAGCTGAAAATGTTGCTAACATTTTCATAATAACTTCATTATTGGTTCTGTAAAAACAACATACTTTTAGTTAAAATAATGTCAGTTTAATACGCATGTATCTGTCAATTTGAAGAATTGATTAAATATGTTCATTAGTAGAGTGTTATCTGTGCCCATATGCTCTGTGTATCTTTTGTTTTGGTTTCTGTGTGTTTCTTTCTCTCCTTTTTCGTACTCAATGTATCTGTGCTCTCTGTGTATCTGGATATTGTGATTGCATTTCGTGGAATGACACTATTGAACGTTCATTTAGGTATTTTACGTATTAAAAATGCATTCAAATATAGGTCGGTACATGCATGGCACAATAAAAATGAATGACAGAAATACAAGATGATTAAAATATTTTCTAAATGTGCCCGATTTCTGTCATTACTGCATTTATTGTTTTCAAAAGTAAAAAACAAGCATTTATTGTATAGCGGATATAGATGAATTTACCCAACTTTGCAATGCAAATAAATATTTCAATCATATTTCTTAAAGGTCTAGGTATTTAATTTATTTTCTTATCGCTTCCTATTTTTAATCTAATATTATATGAAAATTTATTACAGGTATAAAATGGTTATAAGAAACATCCGAAAAAAACAACTCTGAAGCAAAAGTGTTGCAACTATGCAGTCGAATATAAAAAGGTATATTACAGAATATTCAGAGGTGGGCAAGCTTATTTGAAATGACTTTACCTCCTTAAGTTTGCCATGGTGCAATATGTAGATGTATTCATTTTACACTTTTTTACAATATTTTTATTAAAGAGAAAATCGCGAAATATCGAGTTCCTAATACGATTTCAATTATTGTTTTATAACTAGTTTTTTCTTATCAGTCAATATTATCTTTTATTTTTCCCCAAGTTTTCATATTTTCCAAATCTGCTGATTTGGCTTGCTTGGATTGCACATGCTTTTTCTTATTATACCCTCAGCCATATGGCTACAGAGGGTATATATCATTTGATACGGTCAAAACGTGCCTAGTCGTGTATACCCTAGGTCTCTTTGGACCAAATCCGTTTCAGAACATTAGGAGTCGATCTAGCGATGTCCGTCTGTCCGTCTGGCTGGCTGGTGCGCACGATAACTCTCGAAGGGAGTATCCGATTTGGTCCAAACTTGGTATATCGTAATATTATTGGCAAACTTAGATTGAATTCGGAGATGGGCAATATCGGTCCACTCCTTCTGGTACCTCCCCCAAAATAGGTTGGAATTTGCAAAAAAAAATATTCTTTTCACAGAAAGAGAAAGGATAATCCGATTTTGCTTCAACTTTGCAAATCCTAATATTTGCGTCAGTACTCGGTCAGGTGTGAAAATGGACAATATCGGTCCACTCCATCAAGTACCTCACCCACAAATGGTCAAAATTTTGAATAATTACAACTCTCATAAAATGTGATGTACGAGTCCGATTGTCTTCAAATTTCACACATCCCAATATTTATATTAACCCAAGGTCTTGTGTTAAGATGAGCAATATCGGTCCACTCCTTCTGGTATCTCCCCCACAAAAGGCCGAAATTTGCAAAAAATATATTTTTTGCACAGAAAGAAAAAGGATAATCCGATTTTGCTCCAACTTTGCAAATCCTAATATTTGCATCAGTTCTACGTTAGGTGTAAAAATGGACAATATCGGTTCACTCCTTCAAGTACCTCCCCCACAAATGGTCAAAATTTTGAAGAGTTACAACTCTCATAAAATGTGATGTAAGAGTCCGTTTGTCTTGAAATTTCACACATCCCAATCATTTTATTAGCCCAAGGTCTGGTGTAAAGATGGAGTATATCGGTCCACTTCTTCTGGTACATCCCCCACAAATGGTCGAAATTTTAAAAATATATATTTACTGCACAGAAAGGGAAGCAATAATCTAATTTTGAAAAACATAACGCTCAAAGAAACCGAAATAAGGATCCAACTCTCTTCAAATTTCACACATAGAAGCATTTTTGCTAACACCAGATCTGTTGTGAAGATGCTATATATCTGCGAACACCTGCTGGTACCTCACCCCCAAAGGGACACAATTTTCAATACTTTTATCTGTCATAAATTGCGAAACAACTCAGCGATTCTTTACAATTGATTTATCCATCTGCTATAATAATATTTATATCATATTAATTTAGGTCCGATACGAAATGAACAATATTGACCCATTCTTTCAAAACCCACTCCATAGAGGGTGAAGAGGGCTTAGGGTATACATCTGTCGGCAAAACCGACCGATACTTTTTTACAAAGAAGCCCACTAGAGAATCTAAGATTGGCAAAAATGTTAAGGCGGGGAGCTTCCCACATTTAAGAGAAATGTTAGTTTTTGAATTTCGAACTCAACTTCTTAAACGGATTTTTTTTAAAGACATAGCTCAAAGATTGTGTTTTCAGAATGTAAAAGCTCCGATAACCGATTTTCTTTTTATTATATCGAAAAAAATTGCAAGTCTACTTGATACTTCCAGGTTCTGGAACATACATAAATTTATATATTGTTTTGGTTTAGCTTTTTGCAATATCGTCAGGCTTAATTTCAATATTCTTGTTTTTATAACAACGACTATTTATTCATGGATTCACAAAATTATTGCTGAATCACTTCTTTTATATTATACTGCCATCTATCGTCAATATTTAGATACACATCGATTTATTGTGATTTATTCTTATTGTAGGGCGGTTTGTGCCTCACATGTGGATCATATCAAATACACAAACCATATATTCATATTATCGAAACAAATTGCCTTGCTCTATTATTTTGTAATCGATAACATTGATTCGTTGGACAACAAAATGTGGCTTGGGTTATTATTAAAATTGTAGTCTTGACCAAAACCAAATAGATTTGTGACAGATAGAAACCAATAAATGGATTCCATCCAAATTTTGGAAAGCAAATATGCATTTTATTCATTTTCATTCACAACAAATGTACTTAGTATTCGCTAATTGAATAAATGTAAAATAAATAATTTCTTTCTTTTGTTGTTGCAAAATGGTCTGGCTTTATCCCTTTATTGTTGTTTTTATAAAAACAACGTTTGTTTATTAGTGGAGAACGATGGTAATGTTTACCAGGGGGTAAGGCAGGGAATACCTAGGTTTCGGAAAGAGCCACCAATCCTCATCAGTTCCCTTGTTTTTGTCTGGGATATTCTCCCCAGAAGTTATATTAAAAATAACTTCTATGACAAAAAACATTTTTTTACCCAAGTGACGAGATCGTAAGCTCAATAGAAGAGGAACCAAAGAATTAAATAAAACTAAAATTCTCTTGGAAAGTCTTCTAAATCTTACAACCGCACTTATAAACATTTACATCTTTCTCCACTTGTTATGCTTTCGTTCAGCCTGAACGAAGTAGCATAACCATGTAAGTTGGTTTTGTCTGTTACAACAAAAACCCCTTCGTCGACCGTGCCTTGTCTATTAATAGAACAGTGTGGCTTGTTTGTTCGGGATATCGTAGTATTTTGTTGTTGCAAAATGGTCTGGCTTTATCCCTTTTAGGTAGGGTATACCTAGGTATTCCCTGCCTTACCCCCTGGTAAACATTACCATCGTTCTCCACTAATAATCAAACGTTGTTTTTATAAAAACAACAATAAAGGGATAAAGCCAGACCATTTTGCAACAACAAAATACTACGATATCCCGAACAAACAAGCCACACTGTTCTATTAATAGACAAGGCACGGTCGACGAAGGGGTTTTTGTTGTAACAGACAAAACCAACTTACATGGTTATGCTACTTCGTTCAGGCTGAACGAAAGCATAACAAGTGGAGAAAGATGTAAATGTTTATAAGTGCGGTTGTAAGATTTAGAAGACTTTCCAAGAGAATTTTAGTTTTATTTAATTCTTTGGTTCCTCTTCTATTGAGCTTACGATCTCGTCACTTGGGTAAAAAAATGTTTTTTGTCATAGAAGTTATTTTTAAAATAACTTCTGGGGAGAATATCCCAGACAAAAACAAGGGAACTGATGAGGATTGGTGGCTCTTTCCGAAACCTAGGTATTCCCTGCCTTACCCCCTGGTAAACATTACCATCGTTCTCCACTAATAAACAAACGTTGTTTTTATAAAAACAAACAATAAAGGGATAAAGCCAGACCATTTTGCAACAACAAAATACTACGATATCCCGAACAAACAAGCCACACTGTTCTAATAATTTCTTTCTTTTTAGCTTGAGGTCAATTAAAATATCAGTTACAAATTTTTGAAAAACACACATAAATAAATAGGCCCAATAATTTGTAGCTTTTATTTTTTAAACAAATTATAATTTTATGTAGCAATCTTGTTTCGCCGTCTATCCAAAGTTGAATTTTTCATTACACGAAAATCACGTTTTCATAAACTTTTTGGTCAGAACTGTAAGAATGTAAATATTTTACTAATATAACCGATTTTCCCTTTATGATATCGATTTTTTTTAAATAGTAGATTATTGCAAATTGTAGAACAGAGCAGAATTGTTTCAATTTTTGTATTTCATCTACGGCAATCAAGAATACGAAAGAAAGAAAATAAGAAAACAAAATCTATATTCTTCATTATTACTATTTAATTTATTTATAAAAATAAAGCTTTTTAATAAGTATTTTATTTATAAATACAATAAAATACATAATAGTTTCATTTTTTGGGGTTCTTTACTATCGATATTAAATTATGAAATTTTTAGACAATATTTTAGTCGTATATTTATAAATTCATTTACACTTCAATAATAATACCATAAAAAAAGTATTTGTATATGGTATAGGAAATTTATAATGGCCAACCGGTAATGATGGCAAATTCATTATCGAATTAGAACTATTTACACCCTGATGCAAGACAGTCTATGACTAGACCAAACAACAAAATCAACAAAATACTTCTCACAAGCTTCAATGGATTCTTTGGCTTAATCTTCCGTTATCGTAAATGAATGTGTTTGGCCTTCGTAGGGGAAGATGCCACCCAAGATATATTTATAATTGCCAAAGTGGCGTATGCGATATTCACCGGGCAGGGTATTGGGACCGATTCTCCACTGGATGTGAACATCACTGAAACCCAAAATCAAGTGGGTGCGTTCCCAAATGAATCTGTAAGTAAGCAATTAGAAATGTTTAATTTGTTTATAATAAGTGAAATTTGTTCACTCACCTGGTATCCCAACTGGCATCGGTGTGCACCACCTTCCAACGTTCCTCATTGATTTTCCTTTCCACAGTTAAATATGTTTTCTCATGGAACAAATTGTTACGAGGATTACCCGCCACAAATGTGACCACGACAGTATCATTGATTTTATAATGCTTCAATGGTTGTTGTTTGACGTAACCAAAATCTTTGTCCAAAGGATGACCGTCGAAAATGACACCAGTATTCATGGACAACATACGATCATTCATGTATGGGGGCTGGGGTCCAGGTTCGACAGTTTCACCTCTGAACAAGGCCTTGGTTAAACGTTCAAACACATCCATGTAAATGGTGTGAGTGTTGGGTCCGAAAATGGTCGAAGCTGCCTCATATCGTTGGGCCTGATATTCTTCGGGTGTGGTGATATAACTGGAGTAGACATTGGAGAGACCGGCCAAAATGACATCGACATCTTTGCCACCAGTGGCAGCAGCAACAGCTCTTACTTTATTGCGCAAACGTCTGCCGGCCATGGTGGTAAATTCACCGGGTACAGCGGCCATAACCAAATCACCAATGTGACATTCTTGGGCAGGGACAATTTTTGGTTGCCATTCATAGGGGAACGTGGCCTGCAAAATAGGAAAGCCTCCGTTAGTAAGATATCTCAATGATTCCTTTTAAAACTTACTCTTCCAGTGGCCAAGAGAATTGGTTTGGGTGAGTGACAGGCAATATCATCCTGAGTGGGTGGAACAATAAAATCGCGCACCAAATTCCACATGGGATTATCGGTCAAGGTGCCTTGTTCAAAACCAAATGCTCCCGGACCGTCTGTAGTACCGGCAGCAAAACTGTAACCCATAGCCGGTTGACAACCACGAATCTTATCAATTTTCCTTGTCATAGGATTATAGGTTGTGCCATTGTAATTGGGCATATCAATAAAGTGATGGATACAGCCAAGTTCTCCGGTTACCTCACGACCGCTGTAGTCCTCTTGACTGGCCTCATTGAGCAGACGCTGAAAAAAAGAATAATATAATTAAGGTTATTATTACTCTCGAAAATGTAGTAGTTGAAAATGCATAGTCCGAGTTGTCAAAGTGATGACAATTTTATCCTATGACCCTTGCGATTTTATAGACTTCGGAAAAAAATTCAATAACTTCATACATTTTATGTGCTCTAAAGGGTCTTTGAATAAAAATCAGTTTCAACTACCCTATTTTAAATCTTCGATGATTGGCTTAAATAAATCAAAGGTTTTTAACCTACCAATGCCCCCTCGGCCAAACGTTCACCAATGATTCTTGTGCTCTCGAACATATCATGCCCAGGACCCGAAGCAAAACATTCACCTTCATTTGGGGGACATTTGGAGGTTAACAGATCACATGGATTGCCACTCAATGAACATTTGGGACCCATAATATTTGGTGAAACATCGCCCAAATTTGCCGAACAGAAGGCACCAACAAATTTACCCTAAAAATAGAAAACTGTAATTAGTAACTAAAGATTTTTTTTTTTTAATGTCTTTACCTACCTTTCCTGGAACCTTATTGGCATTATATTCCTTTTCCAAAACCAACGAAGCATAGCCCATATTATCACTGGATATCAGTTTGTTGGTGTTATTCATCGATGTCGGATGTACAGCATACCAATTGAAGGCACCCAAAATATTTTCTTCGCGATCGACAAAACGCAACTGGGTCAACTCCTTATCGACATCGTGTTCGTATTGGGCTCTCTCCTCAGCGGGGTTTCGTAAATATGACGTGGGTGAACGATTGATGTTGGCATTCAAGACGGTGGTGCGTGAGAGATAGATTTTACCTTCGACCATATTTTCGGTGGCACGTTTGATACTCTGAAAGGGATATGGGGAGAATTAAAGAAGGAAATTTCTCAGGATTTTTTGAATATTTCAAGGCAAAAGTAAGCACTCAGAAGTGAGAGCATTAAGGTCAGTGTATCTGGCAGATTCACTGACAGATATATAGTAACAATGCCCAGTTCAAACGGCTGAAGCTGGAATCTACAAATTTTGAGTGAGGGTTAACATTGTCACTGGGGTTCGAGATATGGCTGAGTTTTTAGAAATTCGTACTAAGAGGTACGAAAAGTATAAAAAGGTGCTAATTATGACACAGTTAATATCGACTGATTGGGAAATTATAGAATTGTTGTATGTAGGTTTGTATATGGTTGGGGAAATGGCTATTTAAATGTACCAGCCGTATCAAATGGTACTAAATTTGGTATTAAATTGTTCCGAATACAAAATAAACGAACTTATGAATTTTGGTATTCGGATAACTGTGAGTGTGAAGCATTTAGATCAGGAGGTAGATTTGTTTTGTTTGTAATGGTACTAAATTTGACGTAGAATGTAAGAATCGAGCTCGAATTTTGAATTTTGGCATACTGTTAGTTTGTAAAATTTAGATAAGGCGGAGGATTTGAAAATGCGTACTCACTAAAACACGATTCAAATGGGCTGAATTGTGGATTCGATTCGTTTTAGATGTTATTTTTTATTATCCATAATTTTCATAATTTGTGGGGAAGCTACCAGAAGAAGTGGACTGGTACAGGGTGAGATGGAAAAACTGCAACCAACTTCAAACTGCTGTCATTTCTAAGCCACTCGTCCGACAGCTGTTAAAATTATTCCAGTGACAGCTCATCATATTGTTTAAAAGCGTACAAAAGCATTTTGGTGAGAATTTTGCAGAAAAAAGTTATTTGTGGTGGAAAATCAAAAGTGGATATCGTTAGAGCACTCCGGCATTTAAATGTGAATAAATCTTTTGTGTCTTCGACGGGAATGGGCCACAATACCGCAGAGCAACATTCGGGCAACATGTGACGGTTTCATTGGCCGTTTGAAGGCCATAATTCGTTCCAAAGGTGATCAATTCGAACAAATCTAAACTTATTCTAAAATTTGATGCTGTTTCCGATATTTTTTGCTTTTATTCAATAAATTTTTTAAAAATAATGTAAAAATTATGGCGTTTGACTTTGTTGCTGTTTTTTATTTCACCCTGTATTGAAGTCTTTTATAGAATACCCTCAGGAGATTCTTCTTCGAGAGGTATTCTATGGCTAGTGCACCCTCCAGTTGTTTCCTATAGATAGACGACTCTCAAGGGGGTTCTTTATATAGATCTTCAAGAGGTCTTCTATAAATGGTCTACTTTCAAGAGATCTTCTAAAGAAAGAAGATTTCAAGAGAGTTTCTCTAGATAAATAACATTCGAGAGGTTGTCTACAAATATAATCCCTACAAGAAGCCTTTCATAAATAGAATAATAATAACTTTGAGATGTGTTCTAACCATGGAAGACCTTTATCAAATCTACTCAAAAGTTTTCTATCGATAACGAATTTTAACATATAAATCCTTTAAAAGAAGATATCCTATGTCTTATTCAAACTTACCAAATAAATGCCATTGGCCAGGGCCTCAAAGGTCTGTGGTACAAAACCCAAAATGGAAATATCATAGAGCAGATGCATAAGGAAACCACCGGGAGCACCGTGTGTATGTGTGCCACTGATGATGACATTATCGTTGTGGTAAACATCTCCATAGCGTGTTTGCAAGCGTTTAATTACCTAAACAACGGGAAAATGAGAAGAGACAAACGTGAATGCAATTTACATTATTTTAATACATTTATTAGTTTTAATGTAAAATGAGTAATTATTTCAGTTCAATGTAATTAGAACATGTTAGTTTTTATCTGGCGACAAATCAGTAAATATTGGCCAAGAACATTTTTTACAACAAATTTTTGTTGTAAAAAATAAAAACTATTTCATGATATGGATTAAATGAATATTATAGTTGGATAAAATTGATATAATTTGAACTGTTGACATTGAATTTTTAAAGGCTCAACTCCATATGAATTTTCTACACTTTTTACTTACCTCCCTCTTGACGCCATAGCCCATCATGCCGGCATCAACCGAAACATATGCCATGCGATTTCTGTTATTGTCCTCAACAACAAAAGCCCTGGCGAATTGCCGCAAATGTATGCCACGACCAACCTGTTTAATATTGGCATAACCCATCTGCAATCAAGAAACCAACAAAAATTGCCCATTACAAAATCCGAAACAAGATTTAGTATTTCACAAAACTACTTACAAAATTTATTTCCACCGGTGGACCAGTACAATCGGCGCGGCCCAAACCGATTTGATAGGCGACAGCTGAATAGCAGCATAATGCCACCAACAACAAACCGCACAGACTCAGCGATTTGAAATTCATGTTGTTCTACTCTGTCGTTGTTACTGTTGTAAATGTTGTGATTCGTATTACAACATTACAGTTATCCCCTCAAAATCGAACGTTTAAAACTGGAAATAGAAAACAAATAAATTATTTAGTATCGTTTCCTTATTGCAAGTGAATTTATTTTCATATTTGGTTGTTATTGTAAAGTTGAATACCCCGAAAACTGACGTAAAGTTTTATTGTAAAAAAGTGAGACGAAGAGACTAAATCTAGAGTAGATGTCTAAAATTTTGACTTTATGCCTTTTAAATCTGAAATTTTTGCGTATCAAAAATGGGGTATACAGGGTGAGAAGAAAAAACTGCAACCAACTTCAGAATGTTATCATTTCTAAGCCACTCGTCCTGGAGCAGTAAAAATTATTCCAGTGACAGCTCATTATATTGTTTCGATGTGTACAAAAGCATTTTGGTGAGAATTTTCCAGAAAAAAGTTATTCGTGGTGAAATTCAAGCGTGATAGTTTGATTTCTTTGTATTTGGCTGGAAAACCACAAGTGGCTATCGTTAGATCACTCCAGCATTTAAATGTGAATAAATCCTTTGTGTCTCGTACCATCACTCGTTACCGTGATACTGGTAGCGTAGCCCGACGTCAAGGAAGTGGACGGAACAACAGCAGCGACATCAGCAGAATTGGTTGGAAAAGTAAACAAGCGACTTGATCGAAACCCGCGTCGCAGTGGCCGAAAAATGGCTCGTGAGCTGAACATATCGCAATATTCCATTCGGAAAATATTGAAAAATAAACTCGGCGTAAAGCCATTGAAATTCCAGAAAGTGCAAGAACTTACACCGCAACTGATAGAAAATAGACTCTAAAGAGCTAAAGAGTTGCTTCGCTTGGCCGAAAGTGGTGAACTGCCGAATTTGGTTTTCTCCGATGAGAAAACATTCGTTGTCCAGCAGTTTGTAAACAAACAAAATGTTTACTTGCCGAATATTATCGCAAAAATATTCTGGAGGCTGTATTAAAGCCTTGGGCACGCAAACATTTTGGCAGCAGACCTTGGATATTCCAACAGGACTCAGCACCATCGCACTCAGCGCCTTACAAGAATGGTTACAAAATGAGGTTCCTTGCTTCATTTCCAGTGCACAATGACCACTAAAATCTCCGGATATCCACCCGTTGGACTATTGTACCTGGAGTATTTTGGAAAGCAAGGTTGGCACTAAAAAATACCAAAGTGTCGATCACCACAAACAAGCGCTTCGCCGGGAATGGGCCAAAATACCGCAGAGCAACATTCGGGCAGCGTGTGACTGTTTCATTGGCTGTTTGAAGGCCATAATTCGTGCCAAAGGTGACCAATTCGAACAAATCTAAACTTATTCTAAAATTTGATGCTATTTCCGACATTTTTTTGCTTTCATTCAATAAAATTTAAAAAAAAATGTAAAAATTATGGCGTTTGACTTTGCTGCAGTTTTTTTTATCTCACCCTGTATTGGTCATATTATCGATATAATCTATCTTCCACCAGATCTTATGTTGATAGAAAAATTTGGATGTGCCGAATTTATTTGTTTCTGAGCTTCCCCCCTTTGTGGGGGAGGTACCAGAATGAGTGGACCGATATTTTCCATCTTCATACCAGATCTTGGATTAGTAAAAATATTGGGATGTCTGACATTTATTTCACATATTATAAGAGTTATGATTATTAAAAATGTTAACCTTGGGTACTTGGGGAAGGTACTTCATGGATTGGACCTAAGACTAATACAAATGCAGGAATGACACATCACACATCCCCTACCCTCAAATGATTCCGACATACATTTCTGTGTTCGTCCCTGATGCCGGATATTGCCTAGCTCAATATGGATTTGTTTGTGGTGAACTTTGAACTTTTGAACATGATACGTTTGGTAAAAATATTAAAATAAATAAATGTTATGTTCCAAATTTGGATACGGCCTTTGAATGTTATAGTGTAATCCAGCCAGCAGGTAGGCGAACGCCGGGACATGACCAGATTGACTCCAAATGTCCTGAAACAGATTTCGTCTAAAGAAACCTAGGGTCGTTATAAACGAATATTATTACGTTATAAAAATTTTAAGTATAAAATATCAGGGGACGCTGTAAAATAAACCGGGTCACCATTACAGAAAGGGTTTACATCCTCTGAAAACCTGTGTGGAGGTTAAAAACGTATTCAGGAACCCAAACACCACCATTACTTTAAATACCCAAATTTGGAGCAGAATTTTAAAAGTTTTTGCACACAGTCGATATACTTATTTATAACTCGAAACCAGAGTACACATTTGACACTTGCTTGAGAGCAGGAGTATTCGAAGATAAGAAAAATAGCAAAAGCAAGGGTCCGGTGGACTGTGTACAAAAATAACAATATCCTGTACTTTGGTGGTACGGATTGGAGACAATTCTTCTCAAGACATAAATAGAAATACAACGACAGAATGATAAAAACTTGGCAAAGTAGAATTTGCTCAATTTCCAACGAATTTACCTCTCTCCTATTCGAGCGACATCGAAAATCAGAGTTTGTTATACTTATACTATAAAGATTGTTTCTTATATCAACAAGAAGAAGATTTATTTTTTTACAACGCAAACTGGAATTATATTATTATATCTCCTTATTTTGCACTAAATGTTAAATGTTCTAATTCCAAGCTTTTGTTTGAGAAAAAAATATATCAAAACTATTCGAGACATATAACTATTTATAAGTCTATTCTCATAAAAGTTTTCTTTTTTACTAAATTATGATGATAAAATCCAAAATTAATTACAAAAATTCTGTTTGGCGAATGAACAAAAACATTCGCCAAACAGAATTTTTGTAATTAATTTTGGATTTTCTCAAAAAATATTCTTTGCTTCTTCTCCTAATGTTTCCGACAAAAGATCTCATATTGGAAACATGTAATTTTATCACTTAAAAAGTCATCCATCCATCTGCGCGTTCTTTGTTTCAAATTCTTGGTGATAACTGAAATGGTTTCAATGAACCCTCATTTCAGCATTTGTTTTTCTTTTTTTAGTGATAAAAACAATTGTCTTTCCAAAAAGAACGAATTGTCTTTTGGGATTTTTAATGAATTAGAATGCCAACAGTTCTTTACTCAATTTGTTTTGTCAATGGCACACAGAGAGGATTACTGCTTGACCTTTTGTCCGATCACAAAAATAATACTGGAAAATTTATCGCACAATGGAATCCATTTCTTTGTATGAAAATCAGTGGACCCGGGCATTGCGTCACATAACGAGGATGTTCTTTGTTTTTTATTATTCTCTAAATATAATTATATTAATGTTCAATAAATTAAGGCATTTTTTTGGAAAGGAAAGTGCTTTGTCAAAATAGGTATATGAATGTAATTACCATTGCGAATCCCGAAAAGTTGGGTTCTTATGATCAATTGAAAGCGACAATTTATAAATGAGTGTAAATAGAAAAGAATTGACAGTTTTACAGCTTTACACAAAAAAGAAGGCTTCGTGTTGTTTTTTTTTTTTTTTTTTTTTTGACGACCAAATTCAACTATTTTTAACGTCAAGAAGGGACTCTTTGTATAAAACTAGAAGGGAAAACATAACAACAATAAATTTTCTTAAACAAGCAAAAGGGTTTATAGAAGAAATAATTTCTTTGTGTTTAAACCAAGCACTTTCTAAGGAAAATCTTTTGAAAATTTTCCTCACTAAAATTAAAGGGAACTTTCGTTTCTATTTACAACAGCGGTGCTCAAAACCGTGTTCTAGAACATGAAGAGAAAAAAGAGATAATTTAAGAGAAAATTAAAATTCTGTTTTTCATTATATTTTACGGTTCTATTTAATTGTTTTTAAACACGAATGTTTGCCAAAATAATTTATAAAGCAAATGGATAAAAAATATTTGTATAAATAATGACTTAACACTGTTTTGTTCTTGATTTAAATAAGCAAAGAGAAATTTGACTGAAAAGAGATATTTCTTCTTGAGCACCGCTGATTTACAACGATTCACTCTAATCCTTGCAAATAGTAAATTTCTATGTGCGGGAGAAAAAAGAGCGAGAGAGAGAAGAAAACAAAAATGTAATAGAGAACCTTTAGTAGATGATATTTCTTCGTTGGCGATCAGATAGGATGTTTTCATGGACGGCCATATTGAGTCCTAACCAGAGCGCAGATTTGATCAATTTCAGTCGAGAGCGAAACATCGTCGCGAGCATGATTGCTGGAAGAGTGGGAGTTTTTTCAGGGAGTCTACTCTTCACTCTTTCGTTTTGTGTGGGAGTCTCTACAGTTTAAAGAATCAGGGTGGGAGCCGAATAGCTCAATAAAAAGCAAGATTACGCTTTTAGAGTGTAAATTATTTGATAAAAATATTTAGATTTCTAAATTATATATGCAATATCGAACGGGCTTTGATGTTGATGTGTATTGAAGAAGAGGAAGTGTGTGATCATACATATACAGGGTGAGATGAAAAAACTGCAACCAACTTCAGATTGCTGTCATTTCAAAGCCACTCGTCCGACAGCTGTTAAAATTATTCCAGTGATTGTTCATTGTACAGGGTTGCCCATATTCGACAGACCTTTGGGCCCATTCCTATCGGCGAGGCTTCTCCGCAGGCAACATTCTTTGCGTCAATTGAATTTTGTACGGGAACAAATGCGAATAATCCGTTGCAAAGTGGACCGAGCCATGCCCAACTGCTGAGAACGGCGTTTTTGGGATGTTCATGAGGACCTCTCAACACTGGCTCGTACGACAGCGATATTCTCGGCCGATCGCCTTGGTCGACTTTTATATGGCCTCTTCGGATTAGAAAGAGCCTTACCAGTCGAAAATTTTTTGTATAAACGCTTAATGGTGTTCTTAGAAGGCGCATTTCTCACATTTTTTAATGTTTTAAAAGCACGTTGAGTTTTCACAATTGACTTCTTGTAAATTTTAACTATTTCAGAGCGCTCGCGTGGCGTGTATTGGTTCATGGTAAAAATCTGTTTGGACTGACGCTTCAAACGCGGTACGTCTTTAAGCGATGTGACATCTCTGTCAAAAGTTATGGCGTTGCCAGATGGGTCCG